GTTTTGACAGTATGCTGCACGTGTGGGTCGAATGTTAATCCGGAATCGGATATCACCCCAAGGTTTTTCAATTTAGACTGAAGCTCAAGTACAGAGCCATCTACAGATACAGTAGGGTTACAGGATTGGCTTTACAAAGTTGATGGGGGGTGCCAATAAGCACGACTTCAGTTTTGTCACAGTTAAGATGAAGGAAATTTTTAGTCATCCAAGTTTTTATGTCAGAGATGGAATTAGATAGAATAGAGACAGTCACATCAGTGTCAGGTTTGTGACGAATGTATATTTGAGTATCATCAGCATAGAAATGGCATAGCTGAGGCCATGTGATCTTAAAAGCTGACCAAGTGGGAAAATTTAAATGCTGAAAAGCAAGGGGCCCAGTATTGAGCCCTGAGGAACACCAGACTTAACAAGACCAATTTCAGACCTATACCCATTAAGAGAGACAATGTGATAGCGATCAGTGAGGTAAGACTTGAACCATTTGAGGGCAGTGTCAGAAACTCCAAACACAGTCTCAAAACGAGAATTTAAGATGTCATGGTCAAACATTGTCAAAAGCAGTATTGAGATAAAGAAGGATGGGTATAGAAAGAGAACCAGAATCAGAAGCTATTAGAAGATCGTTAGTGACTTTGACCAGGAAAGATTCTGTGCTGTGAAGTTGACAGAAGCCAGATTGGAGGGGCTCGAAAAGGTTATTTGCCATGAGGTGGTTATGTAACTGAAATGTGACAGCACATTCTAGAGTTTCTGCAAGAAAGGGTAAGTTGGAGATGGGTTGAAAATTGTTTAGATTATCCAGAGCCATGTTAGGCTTTTCTGGCACGCGGGTAATGGCAGGAGTTTTTAGGACCGTTGGTATAACACCAGTGCTCAAGGATTCATTTATAATATTGAGGACAATGGGACAAAGAGAAGAGAAACAGGACTGAAATAAAGTGCTGGGAATGGGATCTGAATTAGATGTGGTGGGTTTCATCTGTGTAACTAGTTTATTGAGGGATGCTGAGTCACGAAGAGAGAAGTTGGAGAGAAGCGAACCAGAAAAGTTGGATAAGGAGGGAGGAGGTATGGAAATGACATGGGTAGTGGAGAGAATGTGATGTTGGATGTTGTCGATTTCAGAGCTAAAGAAATCTAAGAATGTGTTGCAAAGTTGTGGTGGGGCAGTTTGGCTTTAGCAAACTGTTGACGGTGGAGAATAAAACAAAAAAATAACAATTTACATTAAGTATGGAGTTATCTAAAGGATTGAGGTGCTTGTGATGCTTGTTTTGGTTATGAACATAGAAGGCTGCTTCATACTCTTTAAACTAACATATCTGCTTTATTCTGTTTTGTTGCACAGCATTCCAGAATGCAAACCAATTGTCCTTTGCTCATTTGTTTACTGGAATATAAAGGTCGGTGATATTTATATAACTTGGGGTTATTTATTCAGGAATCACACTATTATGATTATTATGCACTATTATTATAATTATGTATTGTTGATGGAACTGTATTCTGCATGCCAGTTAATCACACATGGGTTAACAGGCATGCTGTGGTAGTACTATACTGTATGTGCAAGCATATCTGTCTTTACTGTCATTTAAGATTAAACTAAACACACTCTCTAATGTATAACACAATAATTTACACTCAGATCTGGTACAGACATAATGGTCTCAGCTAATAGCATATTCTTCCAATTTTGTATACCTTATCCAAATAAAATGTACTGTACCTCAGAGATGTGATGCAAGCTGTAATTCTCTCACATTCCAATACATACCGTATAAATCAGCATGATCCACAACAACTGGTATCTGACATGAAAACTTGCAGTTACATGCTGATAAGACATCTTTTTGAAGAGCAGCAGACACCAGAACATAAACAATAATGTAAAAGATAAATGGTTTTCTAACATAGGCACATCTGACAGCAGTAAACAGAAACACCAATAAATTCAACCAGGCCATCCCAGGGGGTCACATAAACATATCTGTTAGGGTTAAGGGCAAGTAAATATCGAGAGGAAGACTCTTAACCTTCCACAAACCTGTGAGTAAAATTGAGCCGACCCATTTCCCAGAGCCTACTCGTGAAGATTTTGTGCCAAGAAATGCCTTTAGTTAGAAAGATAGCAATGCTCATGGTAATGTATGCACTACATAGTAAACCATTTTCTTCCAACATAGAATTCTGCACGCACTGTCCTGAATGTCAGAAACTCCATTACAAATTGAATAGCTTTCTGAGGGACATGCAATATGTGGACAGAAAATATGTGCTTAAAAGGCAAAAAATGGTGGTTATTACTTTTTATAAGAAATTTAGATGTACAGTATAGCTGTATTACAGTACAATCCTCATTGTTTAGTTTTTATTTACATATTAAACTGGTCTCACAATTTTGCCATATATAGAGCATTAAAGCAGTTTGTCAGTTAATTGCTGCTATTATCAGGTCAAGGAAACTGTTTTTCGTATATGAAGGTTTGGCTTAATTATGTGCATCGGCAAACAAGGACTATAAAACAATTAGGTGAAAAAGGTACATATGTCACTAGAGGGCAGCAATACTCCACATAAGAGTTGGCTTGTTAAGCACACCATGCAGTTAAATTAGAATGAAATAAAGTTTATCAATCAAACATTAAAAACATAATGCATTAAGCTTAATTTAGGATCAATGTCAAAGTCTATTTAGTTAAGTTTATAACAGAAAAAAAACTATAACGTTTATTAATAAATGACCCATGACAACATAAGTTTTTGTTAATTGCATTAAGTATATCTACTGTAGATGCAGCATGCCTTTCAAGAACCTCCCAGTCCAAAACCACACAGTTGCCTCTTCAGACATTTGCAGCTTTGTTTCCAGCAATAGAGAAGTCAAAGCCATTCAATGGTTTTGAATGGAATGTACTGTATATGTGTTTATATGCATATACACAGATCTGCCTCTCTTTACTTTTTCACATTGTTTCAAGTGAAACAATTTTTCACTTGAAAAGTGATCATTACTTACAGTATTACAGTATCACTGAATTTACTTTTGTACAAAAGCCTGCATTCAAGGCTCACATTATCATTTGCCATTTGGGACTTTAAATCATGTTCAACAATCTAGCTTTTGAGCATGGTATGCAGTATAATTTTTGGAAATAATATAAACTATTGTAGTCACTTAAGTATGAGAGTTCTTTCAGGCAATAATAAAAATGACTGTAAGACAAAAGTGAGGCAGGAAGTGATAGGAATGGCAACATATTGTGAGACATCCCTCAAAGTGTGTTTTTTTATTTTATTTGTCTAATGGCCTATTCATATTTAAGGTGGGTAGCTGCATCAGCATGCTTAGGCTGCAAAGGGACAATAGGTTTATTCCATGCTGAAAAAAAGAAGAAAGAAAACACAACGTTTTGGCCACGGAGCCTACTTCAGGTGTGACACCTGAACACCTGAAGAAGGCTCCACGGCAGAAACGTTGTGTTTTCTTAATTTTTTTCAGCATGGAATAAACCTACTGTATTACTTGTTCATATTCATATTTAATGCCATTTGTTTTCCCAAGAAGGAGAGCAGACGAACCAACACTGAACCACAACAAAGATACTTTGATGTCACACTTGATTTATATCAGTTCTTCCCAAATGGCAACCTCGCTTCGCAAAAGGGGAAAGTAAATATGTGCAAACCAGTATCCATGGAAACCAAGCAATAATATAAGGTGGCCTCCTGACGCCTTTCACCTTATCTTTAAAATAATTCCCTTCCCAAAGAATACTGGCACAGAGAGCAGGGAGCCCTTTGGTCTAGTGCAGCATAGGAATTTTGCAGTCAAACTGTTTTGTATATTTATCATCTTAATATGCTAATCTGCTCTGTAAAGAAAAGGCAAAATATACTGACTGTATACAGTATATATTATATGTATTAATTATGGTACTGTACGCAAAACTACACAATTATTATTTAAATCTTATCCAACAGGGTCTTCATCAGGAAGATTACAGATTCCCTAAAATACTAATAATCCCTTTAAACATACAAGTGTCTAATGTCTACTAGAAGCTGTTTAATTTCTAAAAGTGTCTCGTCTAACTTTATCTTTCATCTTCGCTGTTTTAAAACTTTCAATGCAGGTACCTTTAAGTAAAATATGAGACATAAATATATATAGATGGCAGAAAGTATACTGTATGATGGGAAAAACATTTACAGTATGTGTTGCAGTAGATTTAGCACTTTGAGCATTTAGGCAATGCACAGAAGCAATAAAATGGAATGCTTGGATGAATAGCACAGATCACAGTACAAGTCAAGAAGGGTTATGCTGAAATCCTAATTAGATCACATTTGGAATACCACACAATCCAGTGTCAGTGTAGTCGGCACTGAACATCGGCACACAGGCCTTTAGTCATGTAGCAATTTTTGAGACAAGGTAATGGAAAAGCCCCTCCCTTTTTTATCTACCACAAGGACTAGCCTTAATTGCAAATTGTCTTGGTTATAGCAAATATGTTTGTATGTTTATACTTTTTCACTCATTGGAGCCTCATTATTTCTTAATGAGGAAACGTCTCGTTTCAAGCTGAACTTTACTCTCAGTCCAAGCCATTATCCTCAAGTGTCCTCTGTCAATGTAAACTATCGTTATGTTCAATGACCACGTTCCAAGATGTACAGATAATCTCAGCAGGAAATCCTAATGCAGATAAAGACAGCACAGGCCGCCAGCCAGAACTATAAAAAGGCTCTGGTATATATTTGTAGATACAGTACCTGAAAATTCAGAAATTGTACAGCTTCCATGTCCTGAACTGCAGACCAATATCATAATCCAATATTATGAAGAGCCTCTCAGTGCCAACACAGAACTTCTTAAGTGTATAAAATAACCAAATCACGTCAGTGTTTCCTACCTTTTTAATTCCAGAAAAAAAAAGAAAATAAAACCTGAGCAAAAAAAAACATTAAAATAAATCAGTTACAGTATGTTCAGAGGATTCAGAAATTTTCAGTAATTTTATTTTTCCCCATTACATAACTTGACATAAGGTCGTGTTTCTTATGCATACAGTATAAACATGTCACTTTTTGCTTTGAAACATTAGTTTAACTTATGTCAAGCATAGTATTTGGATTATAAAATGGTTCAAGTTAACATACAGTAAACAATTATGTAATGCTCCTTCCTAATGCTTTTTAATCAACGTTATTTGCATTATCAAGAGCACATCTTCAATTATTTTTGTGACTTTTTTTGTGACAAGCAGTATACTGTATATACTGTATATAGCACAAGAAAATTCACAAGTAAGAGAGTACTTGTCCAATCTACTGCAGCTGATTGATTTTGGTAGATAACTGATCGCCTCTACCAGCCATTTCTTGAAAGAAGTGATGTTACTGGCTTCAATAACATGGCATTTCGACAATAATTAGTTTTAAACTCTGCATTGTACATCAAAGAGATGTAAGGACTTGAACTTGACCGCATGTCCAGGCATGGTACTATTTATCCCTATACAGATTACACTAGTACCTATTCATAGAAGCCAAAACAGGATCATGGACATGAATCCTTTCAATTTGAAGTTTTACTGACAAGCAGGGGATAAGGGGAGTGCGTGAACTATGGCATTTCAAGAGAAAAGGTTATATAAGGCTATTAGTAGAAACACTTAAAAGGAATTACAGAGACAAATATAAACAGAATAGGTTTCCTACTGTTTGCTACTCTATGCCTTTATGTCAATATTTCACTGCTCCACCGGGGTCTCCAGAGAAAATATTATTCTGATATGGTCAGATTGAGCCATCATGCTCTCCCTACTGGCCTGATCTTTTATTTATAATGACAAAAACTCATTCTGATCTCACTAAAGACATAATTCTTTGTATTTTATCTAACTTTTTTCCATTACACACAGGAAAAAATGCTTTGTAGCACCCTCTGTTGTTTAAACATAAAATCACATAATTACATTTGATGCTTCCACACAAGGACACAACCAATTACATACAGTATCTGGCATTATCTGATAAACGATCTCAATGAAATCTAAAGGTTTCTTCTTGGCTCTTCTAAATTGCTGCTTCATTGTCTTGTCAACATCTACAGTATATCAAATTTACATCTAAATGAAACATACTGTAGAACTATACATTTATTTGTGTATGTGTCTATAAAAAAGAATATGGATATCATTAGTATCTGCCTTAACAACTAAAATTAAAATAATTTCCAAAAAAGATCAATTGGATTTTAAAGATTTAAAAATATATGATACATTCATGATGCCCCAATGAACAATCCAAACCATTTTTTAATCTTTTAATTTAACTGAAGGTATAATGTCAGTGCATCTTCGAAAATTCCAAAAATAAGGGGTATTTTACATTTCCTACAACTAAAATTAATCTGATCCTTTAGAACTCTCACTGAAGGTAAGGCTGGTATTAACTTAATTGCAAACAGCAAAATGAAATTCATAAGCTTCACAGTTCCAAAGATATTAAGTACTGCAAATGTTTCTAAAGATTCAACATTTATTCTTGGAATAATTACATTTAAAAACAGTAGAAAACAATAGGGCGTAAGTTCAATTTTCTATCATGTTCAATATTATCATTTAAATTCACATGCTGGCACAGGTAACACTCTATAATCAATTTTGTTCTCTGATGTAACTGGCTACAACCTTACCTGTATATCATAAAAATTAAACACACACTTGATTCATGAAGAAGCAATAAAAGAAGAGGGGGTCAAATGTTTTTGTGTTTTCATTTAAGTGTCATCAGTGTTGATGAGAAAATGAGAAAGGCATGAAAAGATATTAAGAAAATGTTCAAGTTAATTTACCAGGAAAAAAAACAGCCCTATTCCAGTTTGCAATTCTTTCACATGAAAACACATAATAATGGAGATTGCAAAGAGTGAAAAAAAACTAAATAAAAAACACATTCATTTAAATCATTACTGTATATGTCTGTGTAAATTTAAACTTTAAAATGATTTGTCAGTGTTACAACATTCTGTAACAACACTGAAACATGTTTTTAAAAATTGTTGTTAAAATGCACTTATTCTATTTGGTCCCCATAGCAAGCTACTCTCGATATTGATGTAAAGTCAAAGTAAATTCTATTCTCCACGGTAAACAACAATGTTCTTATCAGTTTCATGGATCTTCACTTCATAGAGTGCATTTTGTGGCAGGAGCTTCACTAAGCTGTCCCAGATGAACACAGCTAAATTCTCTGTAGTGCTAAAAAACAAAAGAAACAAAATAAAAAACATAATTTTAAGACTTTTTAACTTTCACACTTTAAAATAATGTTACTACATAAAACCTTTATACATACCTAACTGCATTTGCGAAGTATGGAACATCCTTATCCAGGTTTTTGTGGTCTAGAGGTTTCATGACTGCCTCCTTAAAAAAAAGAGGGAAGTAAGAAATGGCAGAAGCAATATGCTGGACGAGAAGATGACCCATGGAATTCTCTCAAAATTAAATTGCTTATGCCTAAAGAAGGCTCTAAAGAAAAGTGTGTACAATTTTAAGTGTGGAATTTATCTTTACTTGTACAATTCTAAAATAAAAGGATATACAGTCATTTTTTTACATTGGTAACATACTGATCTTAACACTACTGGACTGGTCCTGTACTTGCTGATACGATAAACCCCAACTCAAAACACCATTTCAAAAGAAATTTGCAAGTTTGCCTGTAAAAATACAGTCAACTTATCACTTATTAGCATTATATACTGCCCTCTGAGAAAGAGTTACCTAATAGTGGGTCAATTCACATCCATTGGCAAATACAGTACATCCACATCACATTACGGTTTTGCTTCCATTAGATGTTCATAAGTGAGCGTAAGGGATATGGGACTCCTCAAACATGAGTTCTCCATAGCACATGGGTAGTAATTTAACAGCTTGTTGTGGCTTGAACGTGCCTACTTTTTAATTTTTTTTTCTGTAAACTCAACCATTGATGCTCTCTGAATTGAAGCATAAGTCTGCTACTGCTTTCAGTGTCACACCTTCAATCACACTACTTGTAAGGTCATTTGCATCAGATGTCTTTTTCCATAGAACATGGATGAAAATCAGAAATAACAAATTATTGTGCTGCATCTACTTAATGCCATCAGGAATCCGGGGTTATGAAATACAAAAAAAAGTGGAAGGTGGAAAGAATGAAAGTCAGCGATTCTGTCATCTAAGAAGTGTTTCATATAACAGAAATAACAGTGTTTTAGCATCTGTATACTGGCAGTGATTACTCTGAAAAATGTCAATGTACAGTACTACATATTGAATCGGTTTTTAACTTTTAGAAAGCAGCAGCAGTGATAATCCTGCAGACAAAGTGTTATACAGTTTATTGTGAATAAATCCTGAATCTACAAAATGTACACCTTAAATTAAGTTTTCACAAAATAAATACCCCCACTAATATCCACTGAAGTCCACTTCTTCTTGAAAGCAAGCTTGATTTTGGAAAGCATGTCATCACAAAACCTTGGGAAAAACTATTTGTCCAGTTTCAGAACAGTGTATGATAAAAGTCTGACCCACCTCAATGTAGTGTTTGAGGTCTGTGAGGTTCATCACCATACCAGTCTCAGGGTCAATCTGTAAAGACACACACAAATCAAGAACAGCACAACAGTGAGAAGTATTACATCTACAATATTTTCCTTGAAAAGGAAATAACATTAACTGGATAAAATTGTCGTTGCACAAATAGTGAATTTTAAAAAGGGGTACAGCCATATACAGTTATGTTGAAATGCTAAACATAACTTATTGATTATAATTACTAAAAGGTCTCGACATTTGCAAGGACTCAGTGCAGAACACTTTTGTGAATAGCCCAATTTACATACAGCCAAGTCCACCCCTCTGCCATTGCATAATGTACTATAGTTTATTATATATGGTTAAAAGACATAAGTTGTCTTTTATGTGATCATTTACAGTATATGATACTTAAAGTACTAATGCATTGGCTTTAAGTTAATTAAAATAACATTGATCAACTAAAATAATAAAACATTAATCACAAACTTACAGATGTCAAGATCTTACTTTACTTCTAACAAACTACAATAGGACATAAATCAGTAGCATAAAACTTTAAAGACCATAAACAAGAACAGTTAATTTGAATTTTTCACAAATTATAGGATCATCTTAATCAAGACACAATACTGTTATTAATTTCCCTTACACTGCTGTTTCAAAAACAAATCTTAAGTAATAAAACCAGCATTTGCATCACAATGTTTAAGATTGTGATATAACACCATATAAACGATATAACACCATGTATTGGAATAAGAGTAACTGATTGTTACCTACTTTTCCCCTTACAGTTATTTCCACTGCAAAAGAAGCAAACAGAGAATATTAATTTATATTGCTCAGATAATCTCTCGCAGTCAAGAAATTTTACGAAGTTAGCCAATTATAATACAGAGCATAATTTAGAATATTCCTACAGTATATTATGGCTAAAAACCCTTACTCAGAATATTTTATTGATGCAAATTATGTTAAACAGAAAAAGAAAATATAACTACAAATAAAAGACTATGTAAAGCATGCCTTATCTGACAGGATTACATGAATTATCATTACAAACACTTAATTGATTAAGCAATTATCCTCAAATGCAAACAAAGTATAGCAAATTTACAATTTCTTTACTGCAACTGTTATACACGGATTGTGTTATCTGTGTTTTTAAAACATATATTTTAACATTAAGACATATTTATATTTCAAATTCTATAATAGCAGTGTCCCAGGCTAACAACTGCATCTATTTTATGTCAATATGAGAGGACAGCAGACATTTTAATTATTACTGCTTACTTTTTATCATTCATTTTAAGGATTAATTTAAATTGTTTGCTTACTGTCTCACACTAAATTTCTCCCTGGAATCAATAAAAGAAACTACACAACTTATAACTACAACTGAGCTAAAAGTAACAATTTTACAACTACCAAGGGGGTGGTACAATTTATTTACTCTGGCTTGTCCTTTTTTGTGTGTTTTTTTCAGCTCTGCTGAAATCAAACCCTGGTAGAAGGTTCTAATCTTGAAATGATTGTGTGACAGTAATTATTCAGTGAAGGCGGAATTCATATATCAGTCTATTCTTAAATAAAAACGCTGTCAATTTAAAATGCATTTACTAATACTATGTATACTGTGATGTAATTTAATCAAACTAAAATGCACTGTATACATACTGTACATGACTCCTAATAATAACAGAAGCCCTTCTACGTCCCCAATACTGAGCATTGTATAGAACTGCAATGTTGTGGAAAAACTAAATGTGTAATTACATTCATAAAACAATGCCATTGACATGTGCATGCAACACTACTTAAGAATCTATGCATTTGTTTCTACATTATGAGCTTTAGTTAGACTGAATGATAAGACAGCAAGGCTATCTGCTGCTAATGTTACAACAGCACAACGTTCTATAATAACTTAATAAAAATTGTAATTATATAATATAAGATAATTTTGTTGTGACACCTTCCTGGAATTCACCCTCATCATGAGTTCGTCTGATGATACATTAAGCTGAAACTGTGAATTTTGTCACCACATTAAAGGCATCCCAAAGTTGAAGTGTTACCACATTGTACACATCCAAAGTTTATGTGACAGAGGTGATTTTCACTGACAATTGTAAAGAGTTAGTTTTCTGCACAAATTGTGAACATTTACAGCAGTGGATTGAATTTACATGATTTTTGCCCTGGAATGATGGATCGATTTATCAGTATTTGGACCACTAATCTGAAACAGTTACTGACATACTGGTTTGACTGTGAAGCATTTATACTTCTGACCTTTATAGTTGTGCCCATGTCCATTGGGGTTGTTACACTTGCCGAAGATTCTTTTGTTTTCTTCAGCACTTAGGGAGTTGCTAAAATAAGGAAGAAATTAGTCCCACGGGTACAATGAAAATGCAGATTAAAAACATCAGAACTCTAAAAAAGTACTACAAACATGTTTTTCAAATCAGATTTTAAAGAACAAATATTCTCTCTGCCTATAGTGCCTACCTGGAAGAGATATCTTTCACAAAAGTGAAAAACAATGTAGGAATCACAGCCACAAAGTGAAAATTGTGTAAGTGTAACTGAAAAAAGTGTTTTGATCAAAATATTTTGATAGCAAAGTAAATGCTGCTGTCCTTGTGAATAAAACAATTTACTGAAAAACAGAAATGTACAGTATATACAGTAGTTGTTTTTTTTTCCAACTGGAGTAATGATGTAAGCAGGTGACCAGAAGCAGGACCTCTGACGTGAAGCCGACAGAAATAGATAAAGAGGTTAATGATCCAAAGAGATCATCATTAGGTCAGCCTCTAATCTGAGTAAGCTCCACGCAACAGAGAAATCTTACTTTCCAATACCATTTGAGTCCACAAAAAAGGAGTCCCAAAAAATATGAATGACTTTTCCTTGTCATGTTTTAGAAAGTTAAGCATGGCATTATCACCTGTGTGCAGGTACTGCATCAAGTTACATTTCACTTAAACTAATCTGAAAACATTTCATAAACGACAACATAAACAATGAAATAACTCCAACAGACATTATTGCAATATCTTAAATACTGCATCCCGTAAAGGCAAGTTTTAAAACATACTGTATACAATATCTATTGCTATGACGCTGCATTCTTTAAGATGAGTATCATACAGTAGTGGTAATTTACACTCAAGTAAACTACTAGAACACCAACAATTAAGTTCCAAATATACACAGCCCAAGAAAAACTATTAAATATGAAAATGCCAAAACAAGAGTACCTGTATTCAAATTTTAATGGAGTCTCATTTATTGTATGTTTGTTTTTTTGCATGTTCTTGTTTTAGAGCACATAGAAAGGAAATCAATATACACAAAGGAGAACAGGGTTTTATATGCCTGCTGTGCAAAGGTACAGTAGATATTTTCTTTTTGGAACTTTAATTGAATACAAAAAGAAATAAAATGCTACAATAGGAGTCCTCAAAAACAGGAATGAACTACAAACCATATGAATATCAATAATTAGGAATCAAGCTGTAAAGTTTTCAAATAATTCAGTATGATGACAGTCCAATGTCTCAGCAAAGCTTTTCTACAAAAACTCTGCACCCTACCCTGTCGTGTAGTAAACATGGTGAAAACAGCGACACTTTAGGTGGTCATTGCACTAATCACACAGTCCTTGAAAACATGGTTCATTGGAGGGAATTCCATGACGCTTACACTGTGAAGTGTAAAATTCCAAGCAGCTTAAAGTGTTACGGGGTCGCATACCTCCAAAGATGGAAAGAACCAATTAGGACATTAACAACTTCATGTCAGATGGGTGATGGGCCTTCAGATAAAGACTTAAGGATAATTTGGATATCTGTAGCTTACAGCAAGTAAACTGATGAAGCTGCACTGATCAATTGTTTTAGACATGAAGGGTATTATTGATCTCAATCACCAGGGAGACCACCAGAGACTCAGAACTGAACTTTGTACACTTAATATCAAGCTTCAACCAATTTTATTTTAAACACGTGTAACCGGCTGTATAACAGAAAAACGGCAACACATTTAACGAAAACCACATCAACAACTAATGTCTCACAAATTGCAAGTTAACTTATTTTCTTTTTGGAAATGATTTTCAACTTTTCACTTACATTTGGAGATACTGTACAAACACTGTCATAACTCTTCTGTGTTAGAGTGTATCAAAAGTGGTACTGTATATATAGAATAAATCACAATGCTTGATCAGGACCTTATTTTTATTTTTAACACTCTTTCTAGAGCGTAGTCATTAAGTGTAATAAAACTACAAGATGAGACTAAAATTAACTAAGCATCATAGTTCAAACTAATTATAATAAAAATACTTCAGTCAGATATCAGATAAAAAAAGGCAAAAATAAAAGTATTAAACAGAGGAACCGCTTTATGTCATGACTGCAACACAATCTCGGTTATACAATACTAAAGAACATTTCTGGTCGCAAATCAGATCAATCATCCCCTGTCCTCACGCTTGAGCTGCTAACACACTGTTAACACTCGGACAGTCTACAGCTCTGCTGTCGTACATTACGTGAGAACTTGTTCTAGGGCCCCTTTGGGCATTTGATCAGATTATTTTTCACCGTAAAAATCTAAAATTACGTGTTTTGTTACATCTGA